TTTCTGGCGGAGATGAGGTCAGCGATCAAATCTGGGGGAGCTGGGGAGTCAAAAAGTAACAGGGGAAATAACAAGAGGCCGGAGGTTTTAAACAAAAGCTGTCTGTATGACAGGAAATGGGACTCGGGAGTCATAGAGACCAAAAAATTAAGACTTTTGTTTCGGCATTCAAGGCCGCCGTAGTGTAGTTGATAGACGCTAGCCTGCGGTCCCGAAGACCGTGGGTTCATAGACCCTAATTTTTTCAATACACAACATTGGCTGCCAAGTCTACAAACAATTAAATAGGTAAAAGGACCCTGTCCCACGCCTTCAGAGGAACTGGGCAGATAGGGCTAGACCTATATTTTATAGACCAGTCGGCGCTTGGTGGGTAACGTGGTCAGCCTCACGCCGGCCGCCTTTACTTCCCAGGACTACCAAGGCTGGGTGGACTAGGCAGCCAAGGTCAGAGGTACCAGGAATAAAGTCATGGGAAGTAAAAGTGACCAGTGCGATGATGACCACACTACCCATTGAGATGGTCTAGATAAATATGAGTTCAGCATCATATACCCAGATGTCCCACAGAACGCAGTCTAATCCGATAATATCCCGCGCCATCATTTCGATATCATGTATAGAATACAGGCCAGAACATTCGGCAGTTCTCGCCAACGTTTGTCTGAAGGTTTCTCTTGAGCGTACTCGTTTCCGCAGTCCATTTGTTTTCCATCTCAATGCCTGTTTGGTGATCCACTTTCCCTCATCGTGATGAAAATCATCATCATGTAGCAGGTCCTTTGCAGAAGATTGGTCCTACCACAACCTGCCTCAAAGAAAGACGGCCTATGGTCAGATCTTCCGTCTCATACGTCCCTAACCAGTGTCACTTATATCCCGTGCCCATGTCCCTGCTGATCGACTCCTATGCCAATTTTCTGGCACCATGACGTCACCTGTTACTTTTCCCAATCCACAGTGAGGCTTGATATGGTCCGAAATGTCAGTTTCCTAGACAAGTCGCGACAATTATATCGCCAAATTGTGTCTTCTCGCCGTTGATGTGCCTGTGCACATATTTCTCTTATCCATTCGTCTTTCTTGAATTCATCCAATTTAATGTTATCTATCTACGGGGGGGCACTTGTTTCGTAAACACTTTCAGCATTGGCTGTCAATAATAAACAAGAACACATCATCATCATCACACAGCAGGCCAGGTACAGATCACCTGGTCTCACCACCGACCCTAGAAAACCAGGCAATCTTCTGCTACTGTCCCGCCTGGGGAACATGCACACCCATGGTGTCTTAGTACTTTGTGTCCACCACATCACTGGTCCACCTCTACATTGTCTTCCGTGCCGGGGGGGGGGGGGAGGGGCTCAAGGGGCCTAAGCTACCAGATTTCAGCGCAAACAGACAGAGAGAGAGAGAGAGAGAGAGAGAGAGAGAGAGAGAGAGAGAGAGAGAGAGAGAGAGAGAGAGCACGGCAAGAAAACGAGCAGGTAAATAAACGCTGATATGTATGACGTACATCTGAGACAACAACTCAAAAACCGGAGCCCTGTGGAGAAACAAGGCTACAGTTACGCCAGGCGAGAGCATGGATAAGGCAGCTCTGAGTAACAGCAAAGGTTCTCAAAATCTCGCCCCTTCACCGTCTTTTCTCACTGCATTCATTGATCTGACTGAAAAACAAACTTTAGGGCTCGAACTATGAACTACCATTGAGTCCTGAGGGGAATGAGAGAAATCGTGGACACATAGATATGTTAATGGTTAGTTAAGGCCCTAACGTCACGGAAAATTAGTCACACGTGGTTGCCCCCTTGATGTGCCGGCAGAAACCACAAGCAATGCCATTCACTGTTCACCTGAAAACTAATAAAACATATTAGTCCCAGCAGAGAAGCTCGCAAACGCAAATGCACCAGGCAGTCGCCAGATGTATCAAATCTATGAATTCCACAAAGGAATTTGCAGGTTATTCCTGACAGAAGCAGTCAGCCATTACAAGCTGATTTGTGCACAAGCAATACTGCATAAAGCACATGCTAGTCTTTCCCTTGTGGGTTTTGGGATCCCACCGTGGTCGGAAAGGGGTGGGACAGCAGATCCACTGTCCCGAACAATCATGCCCTAAGAGTTGACAAATTAGGATTTATCACAATCGACGTCTTTGCATATAAGAGTGTGTGCCCAGTCCTCCGATGTAGCAGCCACTCTAAGGTACCTCTACTGACTGTTCCCACGAGGAGTTGGTTATCCTATCTTTACCTCGAAGACAACACAGATCTTCCCCAAGTTTAACTCCTCAGTCATGCAGTCATCAGAGATTCACCGTCATTCCCCAACCTAGTCCCTACAGTGTTGATATCAGTTCTGGTCTTACTTGTCAGCTCTTTCATTAACATGTACTCCTGTATGCCCAGGTGTGTAGATTCAGATAATGGAGGTTAACTTAAGACTTTGAACTGCTTTCTACCCAATCGGAACGTAGACACAATTTAGAGATTTTCTGAAGCATGATCAGAGTTTGAAACGATTACCTCATGTGTGATTACTTGTTCTACTACCCATGAAAGTGCCCTGGAAGCAGGAGTTATCTCCATGGTCATGCTTGATGTAGTTGTCTGGTAAGCACCGCTATACTTTTTTATTGTTTCCCATAGCCTTTGTGCTGTGTATGCCCATGCCGATCTTGATTCACGCTTCACGGACCCCATCTGTGTAAATGACCCCGTCTTCTGGGCTTGAATGCCGATCAATCAGTGCCCTAATCTCACATCAACGGTGGCAGGTATCTGACTCCTGCAGTACCTCCCTAGTGTTATGACAACCTTAGACAAACCATGCAAGTCTGCTGGTGTATCCGTCAATTCTTTTCCGTGCCTGATCTCGTCTAGGTCACTTACTTGCTGGATTAGATGTTCTGCCTCGGCCATCCTAGAGGAGCTTCTTTTGAGACGCATCCCTTTTTATATCATTTAATTGTTGTGCAATGAGTGGTTGATGTCTGCTGATATCCTTATGTACGCTTTCATATCTGTGCCACTTTATGTCTGGTGGCCATACTCGGTAAACCCGGGACATACAACATGGTGTTGCATGAGGTGTCGTTTGTAAAGCCGAGTATCTCATGGCCTCATTTTGTACCGGGTCCAGTCTTTCTAGCTGGGTTCTGCTGACAGTGAGGAGATCCAAACCGTAGTTTATAACACTTAATACAAGTCCCTGATAAAGCAGGAACAGTAGTCACTGTTCAGTGTCGGTGTATGCCATTGCCTTCAGCGCCGCCAAAACTTTCCTGCCTTTAACTATGACACTGTCTAAGTGATTCATGTATGACAAACATCTGTCAAAAGTTATTCCACGGTATCTCATTGCGTGCGTTCTATCAATCTCTATACTGCATATGCTCATGACTGGCGTAGGTGTACTGTGGATATTCAAGAACTATGTTGAGTTTTACCTGTCTGCTTGATTCCTGGCACCACTCACTGAGTCAATCTAATTCATGCTGTAGCGTTGTTGTAATTTTATCTCTGTTGTTTCCTCTTTGGTACACAAGGATATTGTCTGCGAACGACACTGTTCTGCCCAGACCTAATATATGTGCACTGGTGACTAATGATGTGTACACATTAAAAAGTACGCAAGGAAAACAAAAATATTCCCACTGCCTACCCAACAAAAATGCCTTAAGAGTAGATTAATAACTGGGTGTTTCCTTCTCAGTCGGAATGCATGTGCTTGAGAGGCAAGGAACCAACAATCTGCACACAAATAAGTAGTCAGATCTGTAAAATGAATGTGAACACAATGCTCAGGTTCTGGGACAGAACCAAAGTCCAGATATGGATGAACGACCAGAACTTTACCCTGATAGCGCGATGAAGACGAAGAAGAATGGCGTTCTGTGTTTCGATAACACCCAGGTAGTGAATCAGTTAATCGTGGAGAATTGGCTAAAAGCAAAAAACTCCACTGAGTCATTAAGTGTTTGTATAAAAACAATATGGCTGTCGAACAGTCTTCTTCATAAACATAAATGTGATTTACAGCTTTAGAGGTGTCAAGTTGAAATAAAATAGCATGTTTTGATGAGATTTATGTCAAGTTAGATGAAGCCCATTTGTCTTAGTCCTTTATAAAGTCAGAATTCTGGTGGGGGATTTTTAGTATTAGCACAACGGGTGGCTGCCCTATGCATTTACTTTGCCTGTGTAAGCTTCTAGATTGTGCTGTGACTTCTTTCTTTTTCACTAATTATCACATGGGACAGTGAGGGGTATTTCGCATAATTTCTGTGACCACAGGATCAGAGCAGATATGGGGTGACCCACCTGCCATGAAGTTGGAACCCTGGCTAATAAATGTTTATAAAGTCAAGCTTTCATGAGTGACTTGCTCTACATACCTCACACAGAGTATACAAAGATCACAGTTAGCCGGAGAATAAATATTCGCGAAATGGCGTTTTCTTCAATCTCAGTTATTTCTAATATTATTCTCTGGACTACTTAAGATTACAGCTACGAAACTACACAAAATCACAAAAGGTTGGGGGGCGGGGCACGACTGATCAACTGTCTCTTCACATGTACGCTGTAAAAGGTAACTAATTCAGGGTTTGTGAAATCAGATGTTTTGGGCCAAGAGATATCACAACACCGCTGTACCCAGCAACAAAACATGCCTGCCAACCACTATTTCAAGGGCAAACGATGGGGTCGGGGAAGGAGTCTCCTACAGATGAGAATTCTAAAACAGGTCTCTTTAGTCAATGCAGAGCATGGACTTGATTTAAGCAAAACAAAGACAGCCAGAACATGAGTAATCTGGTAATCCTAGTTTTGGTTTCATAGCAAAGCAGGTCACCCCATAGTTGCTCCGCTCCTGTGCCAACGAAAAACATACGTAGCTCACAGTGTCACACCATGCACTTAACTCAGAAGCTGGGCGAGGTAACTATTTCAACATGAGTGTATTGACATGCCAGTTTGAATACTCACCATACATCTTCCCCTCGTCAGACAGGATAATTTTGCGCCTGCCACATGGCGGATATATGGCCAGGGCCTCGTGGAAGCTCTGCTCAATATCAGGGCTCCACACCCCTTCAGCATCAGATAGCTCATCTCCAGAGTTATTGCCCTTGCCCTCGCTGCAGTTACTCATCTCATCGTGGGCTCCAGGATTAGGGTTCTCACCCGCAGTGGGACTCCATGCGGATGACATGCCTTACCGGCAACCTAGAAAAAAAAATTAATGCTACTGTAAGAACAGCTTAGTTAAATATTAGTTAAATATAAACAAAAACAAAGAAACAGAAAAAATTATGAACATAAATGCTTATCAAAATGGTTTCCCACCCCCTACCCCCTTTTTTTGTCATTGCTATTCTTACGTGTGTGTTAACAGGACCCATAAATAGGCAACGAGGGAGAAGAAATAAAACAGGAAGCATGTGCGGAATTTATGAGACTACACATTTTGGAACCAACTTCACCCTAACATGCATGTTGTAAAATGCAACTACCCACTCAATTGAGTAGCTGGGTGATGAAACTATATCCTTTCAGTCTACAAATGGAGGAAAATGCAACTGCTGTCAGAAGTAAAACTTGCCATGACTAAAAACAGCAAACCTGTCTATCCACCATACTGACTGGAAGCCACAGAGTAAGCGTACAGCATGCTGCTGTAGCACTGTAGCTAAAGCAATCAATATGATACCAAAACAGCAGTCTGCTTGTCAATCATGTTTAAGAAGGGTGGGTTTTTCCCCCCACTCTGTGGCTAAGCAAGTCTTCATTAACTGAGCAACATTTTCTTTTGTTGTCAACTTCTTATGGGTTATTTACCAAAGGAAAAACAGAATCAAAATAATCAAACATTATTTGCTTCTTTTCCTGCCTTCTAACCCCTCATAGAGCACAGGCCCTAAACCAACTCACGCCAAGTTGTTCTATGCTTTGCTATTGTATTTTTCTCATCTTTTTAACTGCAGTCTCCAGCTCTCTTCTCCACGTGTTTTTTTTATCTTCCTTTATTTCTATACCCCTGTATAGTTACTTATATTTTCAGCTTTTCTCAATGTATTTCCTATCCAACGCAAGCATCTTTTCTTCACCTCTTTGTCTACTGGAACTTGTTTAGTTCTCCTAAAGCTATACAATAGTGATTCTAGAATACCTTTTAACTCCATCTATTCCGCGCAAGCACCAGTTAATGAATGTTTCTAATTTAATAGTAACTGCCCTAGTTGTTTTCCATGTTTCCGTCCCACACAACAGTACTGATAAGGAAATATCCAGTCAAAATGGACGCTGGCATGGCCACTGTTTGGAGTCGTGGCAAAGTTATTGTTTCTGCCAGAAGGTAGCCGTTGCATTTTTGCTCACTTTGAAGACTGAAAGGATATAGTTTCGCCGCCCAGCTACTGAGTGGAGTGCATGGTGCAACCCAGTGAGCTGCGGAGTTCATTTAGAATGTTTTCCGACTGTGACCAACGTAGTGTTGTAAACTGTATATTTAAAAAATGGTGCGTGGCCTGTCGTCACAATATTGGCGGTGTCCTTATGTAATTAAAATTGATTGCGTGTGCAACCGCTGATTTGTTGGTTATCTCTGGTACTGTCGATGATGAACTGCATTTCTAATGTCGGACTGTTTGTCCTAGCACTTCTGATGGCTACCGTAAGCTTTTAATGCGTGTGTATGCTAGTGCATTTACTGATACCGCAGTCTGTCAATCTCTCCACAAGGGACTGTGATGAACATTCTGTGTGTTTTTCATTTGCACAGGAGCGGAGCAACTATGGGGTGACCCATTTGTTATGAAGCTGAAACTAACATAACAAGAACTGATTTGACATAAGAATACAAACTATTTAGTTTAGTATTAGTTTTAATTTCTGTTGACCTCCACAAATTCCCTAGTGCTATAAAAGCTCCTCCATATTTTAATATCTCTATTAGTTCCCTCATCTTTATCTACATTACTGCCCAAATAGATGTACGACTCCACGCCTTGTAGTAAGATACCATTATGAGAAACCACATTACTATCTGCCTAATTTGTTCTCATTATCTCTGTCTTTGGCTTATGGATTTTTAGACCTAGCTTTTGTAATCTCGCATAAATTATATTTATCTTGTATTTGATTCCGTGAATGGGACAGAGGAGAAATATCACCAACGATGTCCAGACCATCAAGCTGTTTTGAAGGTGTCCACTGAATTGTGTAAAGTTCTCTAAAGTTTCTTTTTGCTGCTGCTGTCTCCACTTCTTGTACTAAGTCATAGAAAATATTTTCTTTTATCTGCCCTTATTCACCTCTTAATTTACTTATTTGATTCTGTGTATTTTTCATTAGCTTTAGCAGCTCTAGTTTTTTCCCCTGCTTTTTTACTTTTCGTTTTGATAATTTTAATGGTTTCTAGTGTTTGTTATCCATGCTTTATACTTCCATTCTGATGATTCCTTTTACCAAAGACTTCTACGCAAGATTCATTCCAGATTTCCTTGATCTGATCCCAGCAGACTTCAGTGCTTACTTCTTCAGCTAACTGCTGCAACATCTGGTACTTATCAGAGACTAACTCAGTGGTTCTCAAACTTCCTAACGCCATGACCCTTTAATACAGTTCCTCATGTTATGAAGACTCACAACAATACACCATTTTTGTCGCTACTTCATAATTTCAATGATTATAGAAACTGCCCCTTAACTTCTTTATCCCTGAGATAACCTACATTATACTTGTTTCTATGATTTTAAGATGTCTTTTAAGTTTTAACTTGATTTTGCTTACTAACAGAAAACTGTCATTAAATACATTGGCATCTCTGATAGCCTTAACTCTTTGAGTCCCAGGGGGTTTTGCATCACAGGCCCAGGGGGTATTAAAGAGAGTCATAAAATCGGCGCATCATGTGTTCATTGGGCTTCTAGGTAGGAACCTATGAACATATGATGCGTTCCTTGGGACTCAAAGAGTTAACATTATAATGGTTATTTATGTAAATAACATTATAAAGGGATGATCCAAATGTTTTGATTATTCATATGGGATAATTCTGATTGGTTGTCTTAAGATCTGGTGATTCCCATGTTGCCTTGTGTATTCTTTTATGTTTTATATACATTATCAGTTCTAATCATAACCCAATAGGTGTGAACATAATAGTATTCCAATGAATAAGTTAAAATTTCATAAATGATTGAAAGATTATCTGATATAATAAATAGCCAAAGCATAACTAAAAACACAATGCATGTTAATAAAGTTAGTTGCGTATCCTTTACAGGACGTTGCAGAACCAACCCGAACAGCCCCTGGCTGTTGTGTGGTTTCTCTAGGCAATTTACATCCAGTAGTTTGCCATTTCTTTCTGGACGGTCGGCTTTCTTGAGACCACCATCGAAACCAACGCAAGGCAATGCATGTTACACATCCAAATTATAACCCTGAGGGCTGAACAGTATATTTATAATTTATGTGAAAACTACTAGAGCTATAGAGACATGCATGTGTCAGATGCCAATAGCGTGTGTATGTTTTTCAATGCTAATGTCAAAAGCCCATTAGACTTGGTAAAAGAAGCCAGTGTCGGTCATTCATCAGTCTGAATTCTTATGCAAACTTCATAGACACTTACTGATAATCAGCTTTCAAATTCTTATATTTTATTGCCAGCAAAAAAAGTTTAAAACTGTACTGGTTGGTGTAGTTACTGATTACTGTGTCACTAGGTTAGGTGTCATGAAGAGCCAGAAGCATCCAACTAGTAACTAAGTAGTTATTAATCTCAAGTTCTAATCTACTTAATAATGAACAGTCAAAAAGTTTTCATGAACGAAAGGACTAACAATCAAAATTAACTTGCAAATATAAGTAATATTAACACAGTATCAGTAATTTCAAACATTAATAATTAATATGTGTCAATTATGAATAAAAAATGCATATGGCATATGTTAACAGTAAGTTAACAATATTTTTTGTAACTGAAAAATTCAGACTGACTTATAGATCTGTGGGTTAATAATAACTGACTGATTCCTTTCTTTATTTAATTTTGAACTGACTGAGTCAGATAGTCATCATACTAAATCAGTCAGTCAGCAGCTGCTAGTTTTGCTGTAATTTCTAAGAATGCAAGAAGATATCTGGTTCAACTCTGCCCTTTGGCGTTTTCGGTTATAGTATAACTGGACTACGTATAATTATAATTGTTAGGTTATTATTAATTTATTTATCTGAATTTGCAAAATTATAAATAAAATGCTCGCGGTGTTGTGCCAGTGATTGATGGGTTGTAAAAAGTAAAAGATTCAACAAAGTTGTTGTTACCCAGCCAAGCAGGGTTAACCTGTGTCGAGCAGACATATTCCAGCGCGACTGAACCACCAGTGCAAACATCATCGTCCCAGTTGTAGATCTCCACAACCCGTTACACACTAATTAATACGGCGACAGATAAAAGCTGTCAGGTGGCTAGCGCCGATATCCAACAACTCTGAGAGAAGTTCGAGGTGAGCTATCCGGAAGTTCCATCTCCAACTATGTCAACTATTTCAAAGATTCGAACCTCGCACAGACATTGCTGTCATTCCCATGCATAAAACCGGACTAAAACTAACAAATACCCATTATATATAATAATTCTAGTTCTCTACTAACCTGAGGATGTGTCCAGAATGGGTTTTTGTCCGTTTCAGCGACGGCTGAAGAGAATTAAACACTTGTGAAAGTTTGTAACTGGTATGTGAGGTATGGGACAAAGAATCCAGACAACGCAACTGCCAGTGCGCATCATCTCTGCGCAACTTCTGCCTGGGCGCGCCAACACATGGCGCCTGCTGCTGCTGCTGCTTCTTAAACCTGTTTCTTCTTCTAATATTCTTCTAATCCCGAAAAAAAATCGTTCATGTGTCTGTTCTTAAATACACATTTGCTATCTTCTAATCATTCTTCTTCTTCTAGTACTCACAATCATAAATGCATATGCCTACGTGTAGTTGTGTGTGTGTGTAGTAAGCTAGACTTTGCAGGTTGTATTACCTTCAAGAGAGGATAAAGGGGGAGAAGGTGTTACAACAGGTCGTACAGACTGGTGACTCATACAGTGTTTCTTCTTGCTACCTTCCCTCCCAGGTCGCGAAACTTTAGAGTAACCTTTTCGGCGGCGATTGTGGGTTAGATAAACAGAGACAAATGGGAGAGTGACG